TCAGCAGCCGGACCAGGAAATATACTGTGTCTACTCTGATAGGAGGCACTAGGGTGTACGATTGTGAAGGCTGTACAATTCTTACAGGGAGGAAATGCAAGGCTGGGAGCAATCATCCAATTTATCACTAACTGACCAGTAAGATCGCTCCGGCTGTTGTATGGAGGGTGAATGGAAGGGGAGGGAGAGTGGAGGAAAGACTGGTCCAGGTGAGGGGATGGCGGCTTTAATTCAGGTGATGGCGCTAGAGGCAGAGCAAAACGGAAAGATCTAGGATGTGTGTTATAGGCACGGCCCGCTGGAGCTGATGATGGATTAGACAGACAACACCTTCCTCGCTCGCTTCATTCCAGCCACGCTGACCCTCTTGCTGCTTCACAAACACTCCAGGCATGCTGTGATTCCAGGGTCTTTGCCATTGCTAGTCCCTCTACCTGAAACACTGTTCCCTTAGGTCCCGGCTTGGACCATTTCTTCAATTAATTCAGGCCCCGCTCAGATGTCAGCTCCTGAGTGAGACCATCCCCGGCCACGCCGTTAAGAACCACAGTACCCTCCCCCACCCACCCTGGTCTATTTTCTTCCATAGACCTTGTGACAACTAACAGATGCTGATTTGTTTCTCAATGCTTCCCCCTCTCCCTCGCTACGGGAGAAGTGGCTTGCATGCAGGAATTTGTTGTATGTTCGGTTCACTGCTGTATATTTGCAGCTTGAATACTGCTTGGCACATGTCGACACAACCAGAAATAATGTGTAACCAGCTCTCTGTGCATTCTATGGCTCACTCAAGTCGACATGCAAAATCTACCACAGTGTGTGTCCGCGACTCAGTAAGTTGTTGCATTAATAAATGAGTTCCCATAGACCGCCCGGGGCATACGGCAACTCCTGGGGACCATTCGCCCTTGACCTGGCCTTCAGACCACAGAGTCCAGCCCAGCTCCTCTTGAGAAGGCCTCCCACTCCCCCAGGAAACTGACACCAACGGGCAAGGGGCTGTTTGATGCCTGGGACTGTGGGAGAGCCTTCCAGCCTGTTACAAGTCATTAGAAAGCCCACCCGGGGAAATTCTGGAAAATTGGCTTACATGGTTTCTGATGGGTATCTACCCACAGGCTCGTGGCCCTGCACTTTCTCTCTCTACTGCAGCTAAGCAGGCGGGGGCTCCGGAGACCGGGCTCGCGTCCCTCTCAAGCTCCGAGACCCCGGAGCAGGGGCCAGGGCAAGGGTGATGGCTCCTGTGGCCTCCCTTGGCCCCGAGACTCAGCTCCGGGAGCAGAGGCTGACATCTGTGGGCAGATACGAGTTGAAAGGGAGAGAAAGAGACTCCCCCGGACATTTGTTAGCAGGGATAAGTAAACCAAGGCACCGGTTGCTTTTTCAAAGGAATACATAGCTTCTGATTGAAATGGGAAACTAATTGATTCTACGCCCTGGCTTTTCACAAGACAACGTCTGCCAAGAAGGGAGTTTGTAGGGAAAACCACAGCCTAGGAATGGCATGGGGAAGAGGCCAGAGAGAGATACACCGCGTACAGGCAGAGGAGTGCTCTGGTGTGGCGGGGGGAAGAGCCCACGGCGGGGTACAGGACCGCGAATGCTGTGATGTTTCCGGAGGGACCAGTGCCGTGCTGGAGGACTCTGTAAGGGACACGGGCAGGGGAGGACCTTGCCGAGTCCACACGCTGCTGGGCGTTTGCCCAAAACGTTCTAACCTACCTGCTCTGGGGAGGAACACACAAAACACCAACAGCGAGAGGGCAAGGGCAAGGGTTCAGCTGTAATCCATACCCCAGGGGAGGGACAACGGTTGGGGACCTGCAAATGGGATGATGGCACACCGCTAAGAGAACCGCTGTCACCACCATGAAAGGACACCTGCCCGGATAATACCGCTGGGCATCCAGGCAGGCCTGCCTCAGCTGTGCAAGGCGTGGCATTGGGCTGGGAGGTTATGAGCGAGCGTTAAATCTGCTCCCCAGCGGGCACTTTTCACTGATCAATCCGCCCATAGGCTGTCTCTTTTCCTAATGGGTCAGTCCAGAGGAAGTGCCTTTTTTCTAACTGGTTCACTCAGAAGGATGACTTTTTTTTTTTTTTTTTCTAACTGGCACAAAGGTGCCATCGAGCGAACAACACCGTCCAGTGTTGGGCAGTGTCTCCTCTCCCATGTGACCAGCCTTGTCCCCACTCCCCTCCCTCATGGCCTATTCCCCTGTGCTCTAGGTGCCTTGTCCCCCTCCCTACATGCCCTGCCTGGGACTTTCCTGAAGCTCCCCCCCCCCATCCACATTCCTGGTCACTTTCACTTCCTCTCAAATGGGGGTGGTTAGACTAGCTAATCTCCAAGATGTCTTCCAGATTCACCATCATAGAATGTTTTCAATCAGTGTGGTTGAGGTATGGTGAGCAAACAATAACATGCACCAATTTCCAGCGTCCAGTTTGATGCATTTAACAAATATAGTCCTATAACTACTGTTGCTGAAGTCAAGATCGTTTTCATTACCTCCACATGTCTTCTCCTGCTCCTTTACAGTCATTTCCTCCCCGAGTCCAATCCACGGCAACCACTGATCTATTCCTACAGTTTTGCCTTTTTCTGAATATCATATGAATGAAAGCACACAGTCAATACCCTTTCGTGACCGACTCCTTTCTCTTAGCATATTTTAGCATTCATCTATGCTGTTGTATATATCAGTTCCTTTTCTTTTTTTTAATACTTTTTTATTTTTTTTATTTGAGAGAGAGAGAGAGAGAGAGAGAGAGTGCATGCCAGCCATGAAGAGGGGCAGAGGGAGAGAGGGGGTGGGGAGAGGGAGAGGGAGAGGGAGAGGGAGAGGGAGAGGGAGAGGGAAGGAGAATCCCAAGCAGGCTCTGCACTCTCAGCACAGAGCCCCGTTCGGGGCTTGAACTCATGAACCATGAGATCAAGACCTGAGCTGAGATCAAGAGTCGAACTGGGCTACCCAGGCGTCCCTTCCCTTTTTTTATTTAAAAAAATTTTTTTTAACATTTATTTATTTTTTTGAGACAGAGAGAGAGCATGAACAGGGGAGGGTCAAAGAGAGAGGGAGACACAGAATCTGAAACAGGCTCCAGGCTCTGAGCTGTCAGCACAGAGCCCGACGCGGGGCTCGAACTCACGGACTGCGAGATCATGACCTGAGCCGAAATCGGATGCTCAACCGACTGAGCCACCCAGGCACCCCACCTTCCCTTTTTTTAAATTAAACTTTTAATTTGGGGACAATTGTACATTCACATGCAGTGTGAAGAAATAATACAGAGATCCCGTGTCCCCTCTGCTCAGTTTCTCCCAGTGCTAACATCTTGTACAACTACAGTGCAATTTCACAACCTGGACAACAGCATCGATACAGTCAAGATACGGAACACCAGGATCCCTCCTGTTGCCCTATTACAGCCACACCTACGTCCCTCCCATACCCATCCCTTCCTTAGCCCTTGTTTCCCAATTCCATAATTTTCTTATTTCAAGAACGCCATATAAATGGAATCATAGAATATGCATTGTTTGTTAGGTTCCCCGCCCCTCCCCCCCACACACACACTCAGCATAATCCTCTAGAGATTCATCTCAGATTGTTGCACATACCGATAGCTTGTTCCTTTTTGTGGTTGAGAAGTATCCCATGATGTAGGGGATGCCACCTGTTGAAGGACACTTAGGTTGTTCCCTGGGATACAAATCCTACTTTTCCGGATGTATCATCTTTTTCATGTGTTGCTGGATTCCGTATGATAGGGTTATTTTTGCATCTGACTTAATGAGACATACCAGTCAGCAGTTTTCATTTTTTTGTGATGTCTTCATCTGGCTTTGGTACCAGGGTCGTGCTGGCTTCACAAAAAGAATGGAAAGTCTTCCCTCCTATTCAATTTTCTGGAAGAGTTTGTGCAGAATTAGTATTCCTTCTTCCTTAAATGTTTGGTAGCATTCATCAGTGAACTCCAGCTAAGGATTTCTTTATAAGAAAGTCAGTCTCTAACTGTAAATTCAATTTTTTAATCACGACAGGGATATTTGGGCTACTTGGCTATAGATTTTTGAGTGAACTTCAATAATTTATGTCTTTCAAAGAATTTGTCCATTTCATTTAAGTTGCCAAATATTGTTCATAAAATCCCCTCATTATCCTTTTAATGTATATAAGATCTGTAATGATGTCTCCTTTCTCATTTCTAATATTGGCAAATTGAGCCCCCTGTCTACTTTCTTTTTTTTTTTAATGTATGAAATTTATTGTCAAACTGGTTTCCATACAACACCCAGTGCTCATCCCAAAAGATGCCCTCTTCAATAGCCATCACCCACCCTCCCTTCCCTCCCACCCCCCATCAGCCCTCAGTTTGTCCTCATATTTTAAGAGTCTCTCACTTTCTTTGTGTCTTATCTGTCTGGCTAAAAGTTTGTCATTTTGTTAACCTGTTCAGTGCAATGATTTCCTCTGCTGTCTTCTTCAATTTCTTCGATTTCTGCTCTTATCCTTATTATTTTCTACCATTTGCCTTTTATGTTCTTTTTTTTTGCTCTTTTTTTTTTCTAGTTTCTTAACCTGGAAGCTTAGATCCCTGATTTGAGACCTTTCTCATTCTGTAACATAAACATTTATTGCTTAAATTTCACTCAAAGTTTTGCTCTAGCTACGTTCCACAAATATTGACATTATGTGTTTTCATTTCCATTCAGTTTTAAATATTTTTAAATTTTGCTTGTGATTTCTTTTTTGATCTGTGGATTATTTAGAAAATTTTTGTAATTTCTTAATAGTTGAAGATTTTTCTAAATATTTGTTACTGATTTCTAAATTTTTTTTTAATTTTCTCAACATTTATTTATTTTTCAGACACAGAGAGACAGAATGTGAATGGGGGAGGGGCAGAGAGAGAGGGAGACACAAAATCTGAAGCAGGCTCCAGGCTCCCAGCTGTCAGCACAGAGCCCAACATGGGACTCGAACCCATGAGCCATGAGATATGACCTGAACTGAAGTCGGACACCTAACTGACTGAGCCACGCAGGTGCCCCGATTTCTAATTTAAATCTGTTGTAGTTGTGGTCAGGGGGAATACTTTATATGATATGAATCCTCTTAATTTTATTGGGACTTGTTTTATGGCCTGGTATGTGGTTGAGCTTGGTGAACATTGTATGTTCACTTGTAATGAATCTGTATCGTGTTGTTCTTGAGTGGTGTATTCTATGAATGTCAACGAAGTCCATTTTTAATAGTCTTGTTCAGGTCTTCTATATCTTTACTGATTTTGTGTTTACTTGCTCTATCAATTACTTAGAGAGCAGTATAGAAATCTTTAGCTGTAAGTGTAGATTTTTTTTGTTTCCCCTTTCAATCCCATCAATTTTGGCTTCAGGTATTTTGAGGCTTTCTTACTACATGCTTCTACAGGATTAGCATGTCTTCTTGATGAATTGGCCTGTTACTATTCCTCGTTCTGAAGTCTACTTTGTCTAATACTGATAGATCTGTTCCAGCTTTCTCGTGGTAAGTGTTCATATAGTAGATCTTTTCCCAGTCTTTCACTTTTAATCTATCCAAGTCTCTATATTTAAAATGAACTCCTCATAGGCAGCATATAACTTGAGTCTTGATTGTCTAGCCAACACGATCATCTCTCCATTTAATTGGGGCATTAGGCCATTTACAGTTAATGTAATTACTAATGTGTTTGGATTTAAATCTGCCATCCTGGTGTTTGTTTTCCATTTCCACCCCTCTTCCCTCTTCTTCTGGGACTCTAACTACATAAAAAAAGTTAGATCACTTGATACTGTCCCACAGGTCACTGATCTGTCTCTCTCTCTCTTAAACCTTGTAAAATCTTTGCTATATTTTGGAGAGTTTGTATTGCTTTGTCTTCAAGTTCACCAATCTTTTCTTCTTCACTTTCCATTCTGTTCTTAATCACACCCATTGTATTTTTCAATTCATACACTGTGTTTTTTATCTTTGGAGGTTTCGTTTGGGTCTTTTTGTATTTTTCATGTCTCTCCTTATCGTATTCAATTTTTCATCTACATTCCTGAACATATGGAGCATATTTGTAATACCTGTTTTAACACCATCACCTGCTAATTCCATTATCTCTATTGTTTTCAGATCTGTTTCAATTGATTAATTTTTCTTTTGGGCTCTGGATCATATCGAATGTTGAACACAAGTTCATCTCTTTAATGTGTATTTATCTTTGAGAGGAAGAGGGAGACAGGTGTGAGTGGGGGAGGGACAGAGAGAGAGGGAGACACAGAATCCAAAGCAGGCTCCAGGCCCTGAGCTGTCAGCACAGGGCCCGACACAGGGCTCGAACTCACAAACCATGAGATCATGACCTGAGCCGAAGTCAGATGCTTAACTGACCTGAGC